CTGCTTTTCAGATGCCACCTGACTCAGCCAGGACTGGGGTTACCTAGAGGAGCAAATTCTAGCCTTAGTCTTGATGAGCAATGATGGTTAAGCCAAGAGTGCTTTGCTGTTGTAACCCCAAAGTTGGTGGCTTAAAACAACACATTATTATAACAAATTTGTTATGTAGATAACAAAGGTACTGTCTTACAGTTCTGGAGGTCAGAGTCCAAACTGGGACATAGGGGGCTCGAGTCAAGGTGTTGGCTTCCTACCTGCAAGCTCTCAGGGAGAATCTGTTTCCATGCTTTTTCCTTTCCAGCTTCTGGAGACTGCTGGCATTCCTTGGATGGTGGTCCCTTCTCTCTCCAAGTCTTTCTTTGACGTCTCTTGCTTCCCTCTTTCACATTTAAGGATCCTTTTGATTGTGTTGGGCCCACCTGGATGATGCAGGACAACCTTATTTTGGGGTCATTTGGTTTTCAGCTGTGATTCCATCTGCAAGAGTAATTCCCCTTTGGATGTAATAAGACATATTCGCAGGTCCTGGGGATTAGGATTTGGACATCTTTGGGAGACCATTATCATGCCTAGCACAGGCACCAAGAGCCTGAAGTTGAGAACAGAGCCCACATAGGAGACTCCTAAGGAGTTTAGATGTATATCTGAGAAAAATCCCTCTGGGGCCAGGTGGGCAGTGGTGGGGTAAGGCAGGGAGGTCAGCCGGAGGGTATTACAGTGGTAAAGCCCGTGAAGGACAGCAACAGTGAAGCCCTGTTCACGTGTGGATTTCCCTGGATCTCTTGCTCTGAAGAAGAAAGGGGTCTTTGCCATACCCAGTCCTAAAGAGCAGCCCAGGAAGTCTCACCCTGATGAACACGAGTGGAACCTCAGCCCTGACCCAGCCCACCACGGCCTCCCTGAGGCTTCACACCTGCAGGGGTACAGGATTCTGTCCTGTTTTGTCGAGAGGAAGTCACAGAGCTGGAAGAGCCTCTAAACCCAGCTGTCAGGAGGGGCTCACCCCTGCCCGGCTTTTCCTCCACATTCTTGACCCTGCAACCAGGGAGGTGTTCCTCTCTGGGACAGGCTGGATTCTGGAGTCAGTGGGCCATTAAATAACATGTTTTCCGGAAAATTACCTTCCTTAAAGGAAACCACTTGTTCCAAGGAATAGAAAAGGGTCATTGTGCCTTGCCAGGCCCCCACTCTCCTTAGGACACAGCACAAAGCTTCTGTCTGGGGAAACCCAGGGCAAATTAGATCCCCAGGTGCTCTGGCCTTCCCTTCATTCTGAAGATAGCAAATGGGTCTGCTGACAGGTGGCTAGAGGCGGACCCCATTTATGGACAAAAAGGACAGTTGAGCTTTGTGCCTGTGGGTTCTTGCCCCAGCAGTGCTATAAGACATTGGGTCCGAAGTGCCTCACAGTGGGCAGCTAGGTTCCTCAGCTACAAAATAAAGGGGATGGGGTGGCTGTGAGCACTGAGATCTGTAGAAAGCCTGGAGTTCTGCACATAGGAGACGTTGAGTAAGTAGGAACAGGTAACAGCAGTAGAAGGAACAGAGAGAACACTGGATTTGGAAACTGGGTTCAAGTGAGGCTCCACCCCAGATTTCTCAGGTGACCTTGAGCAGCCCCTTCCCTTGCTGCCACCAGATAAACACTCCTGGCTTTGCTGGCATTCTGGTGTCTCTGTCCTTGCTGCCAGCCTATTCCAGAGCCTCCCCTCCCTCCCACCCCGCCCTTACACAATTACACAATGGGCTGCGCTGGGCAGAAGGGCAGGAGCACTGGGGTTGCCACACACCACACCACACACACAACACACACCTCATGCACATACACACCCATACCACACACATCACACACACACTTCACTCTCACACCACATAGCCCATGCGTGCTCTGGCACCCACACACTCCACACACATAAGAGAAGTATGATTATAGGAGCTGCTCGTCCCTTCTCTGGGTCATCCTTCCCCACTATCCTATCCCAGCTACCCCATACCCATCTTTCAGCAGATGCTCCTGCTTCTCTGAGACAATGGACCATCCGGCGTGACATGCTCATCTCCCTTCTCTCCCAGACAGGCAGACACACAGCAGTTATCCGCATCCCTGAACATCCTTCCCAGCACCATTGCTGCATCCACACACCACCACCTGGGCCTGACCCCCCCAGACCCCCTTCCTGAGTTCTGCCTCCCAGGCCCATCCTGGGGAGCCCTCTGTGGGTCTTTTCCTTGCTGGTGTACTGTTAGTGTCTCCCTCTCCAATCCTCTTTGCTCAACACATGCTCAACCTCCCTCCTATTCCTAAAAATAATAATCACCGTTGCCTCAGTGTGGCACCATTCTGGCCAAAATACATGGCTCCTCTTCCCTTCAAATTATCTTCAACAGTAACCTCTCCTTCCTCAGCTCCCATTGATCCAACTGCCCCTGCACGCAGAGCCCCTGCACACATGCACGCACCCTAAACACACCACTGTAGGGCCACTCCCTTCACTCCACTCAAACTGTTCTCACCAAGGTCACTGTCAATTCTCATGTTGCAAAATCCAAGGTCTCAGCTCTGTGCTCACCATCTTCAGCCCTCCCACCCCCGAAGCTTTCAACCAGCTGACTCGTCCTCTCTGAAAACCACTTTCTCCCTTACAAGGTTGCCAGATAAAATATAGAACACCAGTTAAAATAGACTCTCAGATAGACAACAAATAATGTTTTAGTATAATTATGTCCCACATATTGCATGGGACATACTTATACTAAATACTGGTTGGTTGGTTGGTTGGTTGGTTGGTTGGTTGGTTTTTTCTATCTGAAATCAAAATAACTAGATGTCCCACATTTTTATTTGCTAAATCTGGCAACCCTACTCCCTGCTTCTCTGTCCCATGTGCTCCCCACCTTCCTACTCGTTCTTCAGCTGCTCCTCCTCAGCCCCCACCTTAGGTCAGCCTGCTCCAGGGTGCTGGCCTTGCCTACCTTCCCTTCTCAAGCTCCTTAATCTCTGGGACAGCTTCTCCCACACCGTTAAGCCCAGCTCCACTCGCGACTGGCCTTGCCCAGAGTCTCGAAAGAACTTTTCTCTAGCTCCTTTGTAGCAACAGCAGATTGCAGTGTTGGGGGGGAGGTGTATGTGTGTGTGCTTGGAAAGACTACCTGCCCAGAGCAACGAGCAAGGCTGCCTCTTTGTTGCCTTCATCATCTATTGCCCAGAAACATGCTGGCCAGATGTGGCAAGAAGCGCTTCCCTTGGGAGCTGGCTGTTGTCCAGCCTCATTTCCTCCCACTGAGCTGCCTACTCCCTGCCCCCACATGTTCTCTGAATCACCACTTGTCCTGCTGCCTCTGGAACACCCTTTCCCAAACTCTCCCTGTTGAAGTGCCCTCTTTTCTTCAGGTCTAGCTCAAAAGCCACCTCCTCCCAGTTTCCCCTGGATCTCCCAGCTCTCCCTCCCTTGAACACCTGAGTATGTTATCTGCAGCCTTGTCCAGGTCACTAAATTAGGAGTTCACCAAGTGCTGGGACCATATCTGGTTGACTCCCATGTTCCCTAGGCAGAACCTGGTACACAGTCAGTGCTCGGCCAGTGTGTATTGAATAGAGAAGTGAATGATTAAATAAGAGAAAAAGTGACAGAATGAACGAACAATTGCTTAAGTAAGGAAGGAAGGGAGACTTATTGAGCAGATGGAGTGGATGGAAGGATGGATAGATGGATGGATGGGAGAGAGAATGGATGAGTGGATAGATGGGAGGGAGAATGGGTGGGTGAGTGGGTGGATGAGTAGGTGAATGGGTGGATGGTTAAGTGGGTGAATGGGAGCAGGTGGGTGGATGGATGTATGGATGAATGGGTAAGTAAGTGGATGGATGGATGGATGGGTGGATGGGTGGATGGTAGATAAGTGGGTGGATTAGCAAGTGAACAAGTGAGGAAAACTCAGGGCTTGACAGACTGCCCATTGCCTGAAGAGTGAGGTCAAGCTCCCCACCATTGCTTTGTTTTCAGAGTCACGTGATTCCAGCCTGCAGACCTTCCTTTCACTGACCCAGAGAGGTTGTGACCATGCAGCACAGGGACAGAGCTCCAGGCCTGGGTCCTGATACTTGGGTCCAGCTGAAAGGCACCTGACCTGGACCAGAGCTGACTTTGCTCACCCCTCCCAGACCTTGCACTTCTATCTCTGCCCATCTGGAGCTTCCATGGCCAGATATTTCTTTGTGTCTAGATATGCTCGCCTACCTCTGATATCTGGGCACATCTGAGAACAGGGCCCTGCTGAGTTCTGAAAAAGGCACCACCCAGGACCCCTTCAAGGAAGGACTTCAGGGTCAGCCTCAGCCGCAGAGCTGCTTTGCCGAGGTCAAAACTTGGGGGACAGGAATGGGGGTGGGCAGCACTCAGAGACCGAGCAAAGGCGGAAGGTGTGTATTAAGGGCCTGCATTATAATTTGACTTTTTCCTCTATCTAGTCCTGCTTTCTCCACCCTCCCCTCACAGATGTTGACCCTATAAACATCTTATACCCCAAGCTTTGTCTCAGTATTCATTTGTGGGGAATGCAAGCTGCAACAGTTCCTTTCCACGTGCATCTATGAAGGCCCTGTTTGGGAGCTCTCAGGTCCAGAGTGACCAAGACAAGCTCCCAAGAACTCCTGTTCCTGGGCTGTGCCTCTCCCTTCCCCATTTCCCCTATTCCATCCCTCTCTACCAATCTGACACTCTCCCTGCCCCCTTCCCCCCCTATACCTCTGCAGCCCCAAGCCTCTCTCTGAGAGTCCTTCCTGTGGCCAAGATGGCCTGCCTAGGTACCTTAGAGCCCAGACCCTTATCAGGGTCAGTTTTGCCACCCTCAAAAAGAGTCCTAGGAGAGCCATCTATTCAGCCCTGAATGGACATATGAGCAAGGAGACCCAGAAGTTTGCAACCCTCAAACTGTACTCTAAATATGGCACAGCATTTATTTCCCAGTACAGAAAAAAAAAAAAAAAGCAGATTTTCTGTTAATAAAAACTGAACATCTCTTTATTTGTGATGAAAACAAGAGCTTTGTTACAGGCTTTTTTGATGTAACATAACATTTTAACTTATTTGGGATTATCTTTCAGTTCATGATTTTTCCATCATTCCTAATGATGCAAGTCATTCACATTCTCTAAGAGCACAAGTGACCTATAAGAAGACAGTAATATAGTCTCATTCAAAATATGTTTCAAAGTCTTCTTTCTGGCTTTCCTGTTAATCAAACAGCTTGTACTTTCTGTGACCATGTTTTTTTCTCTTCTGTTTCATTTTGTAGTTTTCAACACTGGTTCTTGAGAAACCTATATAAGGATATACATTTTCAATAATAAAATAAATGCTTGGTTCCCAAGGAAGCAGTCTTTTGGTTGCAGAACTGCAGGTCTAATTTCAGACAATCGGCAGGGGACTGGTCTCAGGGCTGAGTTCTGTGCGTTGTGCCCTGGCAAGGAACCAAACGACTCCCTCAGCAGAGCATATAAAAATGTAAAAATGTTCACTCGAGGGCACTCTTTCTTCTGGTGGCAACAGAACCAGTTTCACCAGCATGCTGGGATAACCTGAGTGAACTAGCCCTCTGTTCCTGATAAACTCCAGTCATACCACCGTTAGTCTGTAGAGCTGGCCCCCGTGCAATCTGACCCAGTCACTCACTCTTCAGGCCTCCCCTAGGCCCCATCCTGTGGGCAGGGTCCAGCTGAGTTCTCAGGGGTCAGAGCTGAATTCCACCTGGTCCTGGCCCTGCAGATCTACCAGGCTGGCAGACACAGCAAGCTGGGATGGGATGGCACTGGGAGTTTGCCGAATACAACAGGCAGGGAAGGCCAGGAAGGCCAGACTTGAAGTAGTGGAACAGCAGGAAGGCTTGCTGGTGGGTGAGTGGGTCTGACTCACCAGCAAAACAAATCCTAGGAACTGAGAGGCCTCACATGAAGGTCCAGAAGTCCCGGGCACCCACCGCTGCCGCAGGCTGGGTATGGCGACCCGGGCCTGTGAAGAGAGAAGCCTCCTGGCGAAACGTGGCTACCGTGAAACTGTGGCCAGGGCCCCCCTGAGGATCCTGGGCCCTCGAGTCACAGCTGAAACAGCACAGGAGGCAGGTGATGGCTACGGTGACCACAAACAGCACCGCCACCACTCCAATCACTGCTGTTTCCATAGCCCAGCACAGCAGCTGACCGGCTGAGCAACCAGGGGTGTGTCTTAGAGTCTTAGCTCCCCATACGCACCAGGGGGTTCTGGGTGGTAGCAGGCACCCCGCTCTTCCAGCCGCGCTCCTTGTGGGCTCCTAGGCAGGTGCTGGTCTGAGGCCCTGCAACACGGCCCCACTAGGCCGTTGGGTGCTCCGCATTGCACCAGTCAGACCTCAGTTGGTCTCTGTTACTGTTCTCTAAGCTTCTGGCCAGGATCCCAAGTGCCGTGGTCAACTCCAGTGGCAGCTCCTGGAAGAAGACCTATCCTGAAAGATGTGAGCTCAAGAATCCCCGGACTTGGAGGGGCTGAGCGAGAGGGAGCAGAAGACTTTGCTCAGAGATAACCTTGCCAGCCGGGCCCTCTGGTGCCGCCTACCCATTTCAAGAGAGTTTGTCTGCTCAGACAAAAGACAAAATACTCCCCCTCCTGGGGCTCCAGGATGAGCCTGGGCTCCTCCCCTGCAAGAACCTTGGGCCGGTCCTTGAGTAGGCCTATCTGCCGCCTCCTGAGCTCCTGGCCTCAGGCAGGAGGCAGGCAGGCAGGTGGGGAGGAGGGCAATGCCAGCCCTGGGCAAGGTCGGGGTGGGAGCGCTACACGGTCACCTTGAGGGCCAGGGGGCCTTCGGCGGGGGTTGCAGTCCCTTCCTACATGGGACTGGAAGAGGGCTGTTTAGAGAGGGCGGGCTACGCTCCCCCCGGGACCTGACCCGCTCCAACGACTAACATCCGAGCTCCTTTGCCCTGTAGTTCCTGCTCCCGAGAAGCCCTCTTCTGCACGGCCTCCCCCCAGTCCTCCTCGCCGCAGGCTCACTCAGCCTGCTGCCCACACTCAGGTGCTAGGACAACTTACCCTGGGCTTCCCCGAGTGACAGCGCTGGCTGTACGCGGTGCCATGGCCTTCTGACCCGGGGGCCACCCCACGGGCCACCCCACGGCACACTCATCCCTGGGTCCTACAGCCTTTGTCCTGCTTCGGACAAGGCTCCGAGATGTCTGACGAGCTGTGAGCACTTCCTGAATTCCTTCCTCCGATTGTGTGGGCCCAGGACCCGCACAGCTGCCGAGCCCCCTTGGTGACTGCACTCACCCCACCCCCACGCACACCCACGCCGGCCCTGCCCTGCGCAGTCGCAGTTGTGTTCTCCGCTCAGCCTTTCCGGGTGAAGGGTGAGTCCGGCCCGGCCGCTGAGTCCGCCAGGAGAGCTGCGTCCTCTCCGTCAGTCACAGCTCTTCTACAGCTAACCCCCTGCCCTACCCCACTTCCAGAAAGGAGGCTCTACCCAAACTATGAGGAATAGGACAGAGAGAAACAATGCTTCCGGGTGCCAGACACAGCCAGGCATTAGCTCATTTAATGGCCCAGCAACGCTGGCAAGTGATATTGTCTACATTTCACAGACAAAATGCAAATAGTGATAACCACCTGCCTGCAGCCCACTGCTGATGAGTCGTAGTGATAACAAGAGCACCAAATGGTTGAAGGGGAGACTTCCTCCTTCCCCTCATAGCTCAGTGCTCTTCCCGGGTACCACAGGGCCACGGAGCAATCACCTCTTTCTGCGGCTTTACTGATCGGAGTGCAAAGACTCAGAGAGGGCAAAGGGCCAGCCTGAGGTCACACAGCCTGGGTCTTTTGCAAGCTGTCCAAGGCCCCAGTGAATTTTTTTTAGTACCAGTTTTAGGGAGATGCTTAAGCACAGAATGAGTGACTATTGGGACTCCATGAAGCCTGTCAAACTCACTCTTCCTTTTTCCTGGAAGAGCTCAGGGCTCTTCCTCTGTATGAGCAGTGCTGGGCAAGCTGAGCCTGTGGCAGGAAGCTGGACACCTCGAATTGTTGCTATTAACTGGGGCAACCAGAGCAGAGAAGGAAACATGAACCAATCTGTGGTGTGTGGTTTCAGACTGAATTACCAAAATCAACTCACCAATTCAGGATGTAGAAGGCACTAGAGGAATCAGGTTTCAAGCTGAGTTATTTGTTTTCTGACTTCTGGTTTGCCTGTTCTTTGTGGATGCAGAAGAGTGGGAGGCCATCTATGGTAGATGTGTGCTTTTCAGCAGTTTTAAACTGGAATAAAGGGCAATTGCTCAGCCCTCTTATCTTCCACCTTGTATGGGTTTCCTTATCTGACTCTGAGATTTGGGGGCCCTTCCTTGATTCATCAGTAAAACAGGCCTTCTGGTCTGTTCTCACAACAGGCATTCAGTATTTGAATGGATGCTGGTGGCACAGTGAGAGGGACCTGGCTTGTGTTGTGAGGACAGGCGCAGTCTGCTCTGAAGGCCTCTCGGGGTTTCACGTCACACAGGCTGTCTGCCATGTGGAATGACCAACACGGCGCCTCAAGCCCAGGGCAAAAGCAGCAATCTCATAAAGAAGGACGAAGTGTAGATGCCTTCACCACAGTGCCTGTTGCGTCCATCCCCCCACAGCCTTGTGTCCTGTGACAAGTGGCAGCAGCACAGTCAGGCAAGTTAGAAAGATCAAGACAGCCATACGTGTTTGCCCATAGCTCAGAGATGTCCGTACTAAGGGTTTTTTCTGGGTATGTTCTCTTCTTCTTGTGACTATTGTCATCCTGTGACATACAGCCACTGCCCGTGGACCCCAGATGCCATATGACTCCCCAAGATAACTATAACAATCACTTAGATATGTACCTGTCCTCCCATATCCACCATCAGCAACTGATCAGAAATAGACCACATCCCACACTTTCCCTTATATTAGCAAGGGCAAAGATGATGGCAGACATCCGAGAACAGAAAGGAGAGAGCTGTCCCAGAGACTCCAGGCCACACTGAGGTAAGGCAGGCCATCTGAGTCTTGGGGATCCACAGAGAGATGAGGGAGAGGGGATGTTCAAGCCAGCAGGCCACACATGTCCTTCTGTTAAATGTTTCCCCCTTCTCCGACCGCCAACACCGGGGATGGAGTGGGAACCCAAGCTCCCTCAGCAAGGCCCCAGAAGCTCAGAGGCTTAATCCTCTCGGGGCCCTACTGCTATACTTGGTGTCCCATAAGCCCCAAGTTTCTGGCAGTGGTTATTCCAATCATATTTACTTTTCCAGAGAGCACAATGTTCTGAGAATTTTTCCTGAGCATCTGTTGTGTTGGCTGGTTCTGCGCTGGGGGCTGGGAGCCCTCAAAGTTTCTCAGATCTAGGAGGGCAGGGGCCCCCTGAATCCTGCCATAAATCTTGGGAGAAGAAGAAAATGTGATCGTATTCCAACAGAACTAGAAAAATAAATACTAAAAGCAAACTGGAAGCCTATGGGAGGGAGTGACAACTTCTTCTTGAGAAAAGACTCAGAGAGGGGAAGGTATGAAGTGTTTTCTGGGGCCAATGATGGAGCAGCATGGACAGGACAAAAGGAGCAAGGGGTAGGAACTGGATCAGGGGGCTTTGAATAGACAACCGAGAGGCACAGACTCTCCCCCAGGATGATGAGGGGTTTCAGCAGATCCCTCAGACCATGCACAGACGCTTCAGAAAGGGCAGGGCTGGAGGGGGGCAGCAACCCAGGCTGGAGGGACAAGCTAGGGCAAACACAGGAATGCAAGAGGGGAGGAGGATTTGAAGGACACGGCAGAGATAAAATCAGCAATACCTACTGACCCATGGCCCAGAAATCTAGTGTGGCTGTCAGTGTGAATCTGCCTCCCTTTCCCCCTCACACCGCCCAGCCCTCACAGAGACTCCACTGGGAAATAGAAAAGAAACAGGATGTTCTGTTCCAATGAGTCACCAGGCCCCTGACTTTCTGGCCTATTCTCAAGCCCCTCCCCACCACCTCTCCTGGCCCCCAAGGCTCTCCTCCCTCCACTTCCCACCCAAACACAGGCTGAAGGCCTCAGAACAAGATTTCCTTCCTCCCTGTGGAATTCTGCCAGCTATTCGTGGGATATTTGAAACATGCCTCCAGGCTTTCGAAAGAAGGAGTCTCTGCTATCCCATTTTAGGGATGAGGCAACTGAGATCCCGAGGAGGCAAGCACTCTCCCAAGGCCACCTAGCACCACCTCCTCCAGTTAAAGAACCTCTCCATCCCTCTGGTATACACAGGCATCCATGGGCACAGGAAGCTGGAGACTCAAAGCTTGGATAAGAAACCCTGACCCAGTTACCAAGGAAATATTTAATTCAACACAGCCCACAGAGTGGAGCTTCTGCAGGTCCCAGAGCTCAGTCTGCCCTGGAGATGGGCTGGGAAGATTGCTGGAGCCCTTGGGGGCCAGCCTGGGTGGCCTCATCCCTCTTCTCCCTGAGCCCCTGGACTGTCCCACAGAGGCCCAGAGCCCCCCCGGTACACAGAGAGCCCTCTCTGGGCGGGGCCGCATGCAAACCCTAAATCCTCCCTCAGAGCCTGGGTCCAGAGCTTTCTTTCCCTACTACCCTTGGAGCACCATAGGTCCCACCCAGGTTCCCCCAGCACACAGCTGGCCCTCCAGCACCAGGCAGAAGGCACCTGTGTCAAGCATTCACTTCTTGTCAGAGACAAAGGTCCCAGGGCAGTGCAGACACATGCCTGGCTGCTCCCTCTCCCACCTGTGTTAGTCAGGAGCCTCTTCATAAAAGCTTCTTAGCACGTTTTATTTTCTTGCATCAAGGCATAAGTGAATTGACCTTGCAGCCTCATATTGCCTTCTCTCCAAATACAAGGGCATTGCTGGCCCCTCCCAGCTAGCCCCCTGGCCAGTACGTCAGAAGACAGCCCTTCAGAGAGCCCTGCACATCTTCTCTGCGTCCACGTGCACTGACATTCCCTGGGAGGCACCAGGCACCAGGTGACATCTGTCCCCAAAGGAGACCCCTGCTCTCACCCCGTTACCCTCCAGTGTGCGCAGGGCCACCCCCAGTGGCCCTCGGTTCTCTCCTCATCGTACTCCGGGGCGTAGTATGCAGAAGCAGTCCAGTAGGAGCGGCGCACCCTCCCCAGCGTTTCCTGCAGAGAGGCGCCCCTCTGCAGGGGAGCACAGGGGTCCACGAGTCCGGAGTCCCAGGGACAGTAGGTAGGGCAGGCCTGGGCTGCCATTCACAGGTGTCAGCGGCGGCCTCGGCGGGCATGGTGGGCGTGGTGGTGGG